TCTCAACTCTTACCTTTCCTGGTCTAGTTCCTTAGATTCCCCAGACACAGTAGCTATTCTCACCTCCATGCCTTTGATCATCCTCTTCCTCTTTCCTACCCATCCTTTAAGACTCAGGTCAAATGTTACCCTTTCTGGAAAATCTCCCCGGCTGTCCTTAACTATGTTGGAAGTTCCCTCGCTGCCCTCAGAATACCCTGTGCCTGAATCTCCCATTTCATGTATTGTACAACATTGTGATGATCTGTGTTTGTTTCTGCCTCTCCCATCAGACTATGAGCTTCCTGGGAGCAAGGATTCCTACTCAGGATCTCTAGAGGCTAGCACAGTGCCTCACAGACACAAGGATTTATGTGAGAAAGAAAAGAAGTGGGGTGGGGAGAGAAAAGTGAGGCAAAAGTAAAGGGACGGAAGGAAAGGAGAACATTAGAAGAGAAGAAAGAAAGTAAAACAGCCACTTGAAAGTACTAAAAAGAGAGAGGAGAAGGAAGGGAGAGTTGGGGGAGGAAGAAAGAAATGAGGGAGGAACAGAAGAAAGAGGGAGGGGAGGAGGGAGAGAGGAAAGAAATTCTCTCAATGCATTTATCAGTTATCATGGACATACAACAAAGACAGTGGAAGAATAAAATCCCAAATCAAATCTGAAATGAGACCCGGGGAAATATACCGGGCGCCGTGGCTCAGGCCTATAATCTCAGCACTTTGGGAGGCTAAGGTGGGAGGATCACTTGAGGCCAAGAGTTGAACAGTCTGGAAAACATAGTGAGATCCTGTCTCTACAAAAAATAAAACAAAGACTGAGGTGGGCTGATAACTTGAGCTCAGGAGTTCAAGACCAGCCTGGCCAACACGGTGAAACCCCATCTCTACTAAAAAATACAAAAATTAGCCAGAAATCGCTTGAACTCAGGAGGTGGAGGTTGCAGTGAGCCAAGATCATGCCACCTCACTCCAGCCTGGGCAACAGAGCAAGACTCCATCTCAAAAAATAAATTAAATAAAATAATTAACCAGGCATGGTGGTGTGTGCCTGTAGTCCTAACTACTGAGGGGGCTGAGATGGGAGTTTGGTGCTTGTCTTGCCCATGCTACCCCTCTGCCACTGCTCACGCTTGATGTATCTTTGAGGAAATCGACCTTTCTCCACTATCAGTCCATGTGTGGTTTCAGGGATGGGCATGTAGCTTGGGCCGTAAACAAAGTCACCATGATTAATTAAGAGGTGGACACTTGACCAAGCTGGGCTAATCTGCTGCCTCAGCCCTGGAATGTTTGCTGGAATTCTTCTTTTTCCACAGGCACTGCTAAGCTGAAACAATGTAAATTGGAGCTACTAGTAGCCTTATTTGTCACCTTGAAGACAGAAGTGGATTTAAAATGAGCGAACACAGAGGAACCAAGAAATGGAGAGAGACAGATTCTTCATGGCATGCTTTGAGCTTCTGGCTCTGTCCATGCCCGAAGCCAAATACTCTTGACTTTCAAATTAAGTGAGCCAATAAACCCTAGCCTCTTTATTTTATTCTAATTTATTTAAGCCAGCTCAAGTTTGGTTTCTGTCATTTGCCACTGAAGGACTGTTGACTAATATAGTGACCTAACTAGAGAGTATGCTCCCTGAGAGCAGGAATTGCATTGTATAGACTTAAGATCCTTAGAGACAGGGATGATGTCTTATGCATCTCACTATTACAGGACTAAACATTGGGATGGTTACAGAGCGGGTGAAAAACAAACAAAAGAATAAATGTCTTTTTGTATTTTTCCAATGGCCCCATGCTCTGTACTCAGAAGACCCTAAAATACTTGAATAAAAGTTAACAGGAACAAAATCATATGATAGGCACTTTAATTCTTATCTGACACAAACAAAGCCCTTTGATTCTCCACAGTTCCTCTAAGGATGAGTGATTTATCACTTTCTGAATGGAATGATCTTGATGGAAGAGTTGTTCCAGGATCCCCACAGGGCTGACATTTTTTACTTATTTTATGTTATTTTTCGCAGATACAAACCAAACAAAAAACAGGCTAGTCTCCAATTCCTGGCCTCAAGCAATCTTCCCACCTCAGCCTCCCACAGTGCTGGGATTATAGGCGTGAGCCACCATGTCTGACCAAAAGATACTTTATTTTATTTATTTATTTATTTTTGAGACAGAGTTTCACTCTTGTTGCCCAGGCTGGAGTGCAATGGTGCCATCTCAGCTCACCACAACCTCCACCTCCCAGCTTCAAGAGATTCTTCTGCCTCAGCCTCCCGAGTAGCTAGGATTACAAGCATCCGCCACCATGCCTGGCTAATTTTTATTTTTAGTAGAGATGGGGTTTCTCCGTGTTGGTCAGGCTGGTCTTAAACTCCAGACCTCATGTGATCAACTCACCTTAGCCTCCCAAAGTGCTGGGATTACAGGCATGAGTCACTGAGCCCAGCCCCCAAGAGATACTTTAAATCAGCTTACCTACTTGCTCCCCATCCCCTATGGTACAAATGGGAAACTGAGATTTAAACTTAAAGGCTTACTTAACACTACACGGTGAGTCACAGATCCAAGTCAGCCAAGAACCGCATTCCAACACTCGTAGTCCAGTGCTCTGGCCTCTGTCCTTGTGTCGCTTTATTAACCAAAGTGAACCAGTCACTCACCCAGAGAATTCAGAAATCTCTGAACAAAATGAAATAAACTGTTCAACTCTGCCAACTGCCCCCTCAGTCCACATGGGTGGGGCAGTAATGAAAGGGAAAGTGTCCTGAGCCAGAAGTCAAGAACCCCCAGTTGTAGAACTAGCTTCCTCCCTTATCAGCTGTGTGACTTTAAGTAAGCCCTTCCCATCTTTATACTGTTTCCTCTCTCTGAAACAGGGGGAGGGAAAGGTGAGATTTGATGGAGCTGATCTCTAAGGTCCCTGAAAATCTATGATTGTATGGGGGGATGTTGGACAGTTCATCAAATCTCCAAGATTAAGCCCACACAGATTACAGAGAATTTGAAGGCCAAGAGGTCAGCAACCCATCTGCAGACTCCAAATTAAGGTTGATGAATTGAGGGTTCCAGCTTGCCTTTGTAGGAGAAATAGACTAGAAATATATACTATCACCTCCCTGGGTACCACAGAGAAGTATGGAGCCATATTCCTCACATCCTATAGTTCACCTTTCTCATCCTCTTCAACAATCCTAAAAAATCCACATCTAAATTGAGTTGGGTGAGATGAATTTGAAACAGGTCCATTAGAATGTCCACCTCTGCCTTCTTCAAAGTAGTCCTTTTAGGAGTTTGGGCAATTTTTCCAATGAGGCAGTAATTCCTCCCTGCATTTTAAAAGTCCTCTTGTGGAAATAGACCAAATTCATGACTGGTCTTCATATACTCACACCTTGGCTTTCATTCCAAGTGACAATTATCAATTTGGTCACCCATTGTATTCTCTATACTTGACCTGGAGTGACTTCCAGCCATTTCCAAAAATTACGTTCCTCCTTTAAAAGATAGAGGTTTCAGGCCGGGCACGGTGGCTCACGCCTGTAATCCCAGCACTTTGGGAGGCTGAGGCGGGCAGATCATGAGGTCAGGAGTTTGAGACCAGCCTGGCCAATATGGTTAAACCCCATCTCTACTAAAAATACAAAAATTAACCAGGCGTGGTGGCATGCATCTGTAGTCCCAGCTACTCAGGAGGCTGAGGCAGAAGAATCGCTTGAACCTGGGAGGCAGAGGTTGTAGTGAACCGAGATTGTGCCACTGCACTTCAGCCTGGGCAACAAGCAAGACTCCATCTCAAAAAAAAAAAAAAAGAGGTTTCTTCTCAATGAAAATATTCAAGTGATTACACCCCATGCTCCAAAGCTAACTCTCTGCAATGCTTTGAGCAATGGAATAATCAGCAAGTGATATAATGCCTCCTCCAGGGGGTCTCTTTTGGAATGGCAGACACTTGTTGAATGTCCTGAGGTGCTTATTAAAAAAAAAAAATCTCTGCTGCATGATAATCACATTTCCCCCTTCTATTTCTCATTCCTGGAAGACTCCAAACTTTTCCCTTCACCTGCTCTCCTCTCTCACCCTTCCCATTCCCTGGCCCCACTTTCCCCAGACCAACTCTCTTCCCTGCCAGCAATTAGGCAAAAGCCCAAGTTGCTGAGTCTTCAAAATCTGTCTCTGATCAAAAGGTAGGTGGAAGTGGGAGACTCTAATGGATCCTGGAAAACTGTCTCAGCATTTCTCATTCCCAAAAGGGCCTTCTCTGGTTCTTAGGGTAAGATGACTGTCTTGGTCAAGCATTTCAGAGGGTCCCAGGGACTCATTCCCATTGGGCATGGCACCAGAACTTTCCTGCCTGGTGCAAAGGTGGGGGTGGGGGATGGAGACCTGCCCTCCAGAGACCCATGTTGCCCAGTGCTTTCAACCACTCACATCTCAAACATTGGAAAAGCACTATAGACAGCCTCTCCCACCCCATCACAGCATTTTAAACACTACCAAACCCTCTTTTGTTTGTCCTTTTGAAATCGTCTCCACTGTTTTACAGAGGAGGAAACCGAGCCTCAGAGAAGTAAAGTGGAACACCCAAGTTGATAGCGTCAGCAAGTTAAAAGTCCAAGGCAGAACTCTTGATTCCCCATCTCATGCTTTTTTTCAACGTAACAGAAATCGATCATACCTACAGCAACCTCTCATTGAGATAAATATTTCCCCCAAGATAGCCAACAGAGACCCTTAGAGACACTAACATGATGCTAACCCATCAATAAATGCAGTCTGCCCATATCCAAGCAAACAGACCCGCCTACCCAGTCCTAAGGCTCTGTCCTCTGCCCTAAGGTGTCTCTCTCCAGCGCACCCCCTCCCCAGTAGCCACTGAGGGTCCCTCAGCCAAGGAGGTGTGTGTCTTAACACAGAGAAGCAGAATCTATCTGACCCCTTCAGGAAGGGGACCTGGCAGGAAAGAGCCCCATCCTCGACGCCTGTTCCGGGGGTTCTGCCCAGCCCCTCCCCTACCTGCCAAGAGCTGCATCCAGGCGCAGATCTTGTAGACCGTAGCCGTGTTGCAGAAGAAGAAAAGCGCAAAGCAGGTGATGCAGCCGAGGATCAGCACCATGGAGAGCAGCACGAAGAAGGCGGCCGCCTTGAAGGCGCTGGACGGGATGGTGCTGAAGTCGGTGAAGGAGCCCCGGCAGGTGAGCTCGCGGCCCGCCAGCCCGCTGCCCACGCAGTAGTGGAAGAGGCCGAAGTAGCCAGGCTTGGGAGTGCTCACGCTGTCGCCCACCCAGTAGGGCTGGATGAAGACCACCACGTTGATGATGGCGAAGCAGATGGTGAAGATGGCCCACAGCACGCCGATGGCCCGCGAGTTCCGCATGTAGTGCTCGTGGTAGAGCTTGGAGGCTTCCTGCGAGGGCAGCATGGTGCCCGGGGGCGGGGCCGGCGGCGGCGGCGGCTGGCTGGGGCCGCCAGCCCGGGACGGAGCGCCGGGCTGCCGGGCGGGAGCTGGGGACGCACGCGAGAAGCGGCCCTAAGTCAAGGAACCCGCGAGGGCGGGGCCTGGGGCAGAGATGGGGGCGTCTGGGAGCTGATATGGGGAGAGAGGAGGGAGTCATGAGAGTGTTGGGGTGGTGTCTAGGGGGACTGGCAAAGGTCTCCTGTTGGGGGGCCTAGGAAGGGGCCATGAAAAAGTTGGGGGGCTCCTGGGATGGGGATGTGAGACCTGAAAGTGAGGGGGAGGTGCTTGAAAGTGGTCATGGGGGAGTTGGGGAGGGGATTTGGGAGCTGGTATTAGGGGAGTAGGAGGGGACGGGGGGGAGGTGGAATGGAGGCTGGAGACTGGCATTGGAGGATTAGCAGAGGGGCTGAATTTGAGGAGCTCCGAAGGGAATTTGGGGGCTGGTATTAAGGGGTAGGAGGAGGTCTGGTACTGGGTGTCTAGGAAGGGACTATGAGGCGGTGGTGGGCGCTTCTAGGATAGGGAAAGAGGGAATTTAAGAGGCTGGGACTGGGTGATTGGGAAGATGATATGGGGGCTGGGACGGGGAATAGGGGCTGGTATGGGGGTCTAAGAGAGCAAAGTGGCAAAATTAGGATACGGCTAGAGGGGAGTCGGAGGCTGGGACTGCTGGACACCGGGCGAGGTGGGGGGGTGTCCTCAGAAGCCAGGGCTGGAGGTAGGCTGGAGGGAGCCTAGGATTGGCGGGCCAGGATTGGGGAGAGGGGCTTTCCAGGCCAAAGGGACGAAAGACCGGGGCTGGTGGGCAGCGGGGCCCGCGAGGGATGGGCGGTGTGCAGGGGCTGTCTCCGGGGGGCCGGGGAGCGGCCGGGCCCAAGTAGGGCCGGGGTTGGGGGGGGCGGCTGCCCCGCGCCCAGGCCGGACGCGCGCGAGGCTGCGGCCGGGGGGAGAGGGTGCGGGGAGACCAACCTGGGCACGGTCGGGGGCAGCGGATCCGGGACTGGCACGGCCTAGGCGCCGCGGCTCGGCGCTCCCAGCAGCGGCTGCCTCGGCCCAGGCGGCGGCCTCTGCGCGGCCTCCATCTTGCTCGGGTTCTCCCCGGGGCGCGCTCCCGCGCCAAGGCGCGCGCTCTCGTGCACCAGCGCGGCCCGGCGGAGGCGCGCTCCCGCGCGGGCGTGCGGGACTGAGCGGGGCGGAACCGGGGAAGGGTGCTCCTGGTTCTGGCGTTTGGGGGGAAGGGTGGCCACGATCCCCGGGGTCCCCCAGCGGGGGCAGCAAGCACCCCTCCACAGTAGGGTCCCCTGATGTGGGGGACTCCCTTCTTCCATCCTGAGCTGAGGTGCTGTGAGGCCCCACAAAGCCCACGGGAGTGGGGGAGGGGCTGGAGGGGGTATTATCTGATAGGATTTGAACTGGATCTCTTGCTCCCAGTTACCTCCCCTACAACCTAGCACAGTGCCTGAAGTTACACCATTACGCTTTCAGTCCTTTAGGTCTTGGAGGCGTTGAAGGTTCCCAGAGTCTCCTAGGAAACTGTTAACACCCCTGGGAGAGGGAACCCCCTAAACTGCTAGCAGCCCACGCCTGCGATGGGGATTCGTTGGCCACCAGGGCAAGGAGCAAAGCCTGGGGAACGGGACCCAGAGTGAGTACTAGGGGACAGGAGAGAAAGGGGCTGGGACATTTTGGGTTTCCCTCCCTACACTCTCCCCTGCCCCCAGCCGAGTGCCTGACATGAAGTAGGCACACCATAAAGATGTGTTAAAGAACAAAGCATCAAAGGCCAGGCACAGGGTTAGGCCACAGAACACCCCAGGGGCACTCCAACGGAAACAGCATGGGTCATTTCTTTCCCAGCTGGAAAATAGCCTTTGACTTAGGACCTGTCAAGATGATGTGGGTTGGAACCCAGACAACTGTCTCTGTGACCTTGCACCACCACTCTCTCTAAACCTGTTTCCTCATCTGTAAAGTGGACGGATATATAAGTGGGGTGAGGTGGCAAAAAGTAATCCATGTTAGCAGGTCTCAAACACTGGACCCCATACACAGGTCAATCTCAAAACATCTATCTGGATCTGGGAACAGTGTCTCATGCCTGTCATCCAAGCTACTAGGGAGGGTATGGTGGGGGAACCGCTTGAGGCCAGAAGTTCAAGGCTGCTATGGGCTATGATCATGCCACTGCACTCTAGCTTGTGCTACAGAGACAGACCTTTTCTCTAAAAGAAATAATAAAATACAACAGGAAATGAATTTCTATCTGCAGAAAAATAATCATGTAAGATTGCCAGTTGTCTTCTCCAGTGGGGAAGTAGGACTGCTCTTTTTGTTTTGAGATTATGTATTTCCTACTTTCTTAGCGCAAAAAAAATCCACTTATTTTAAGAAATAGTGGTGATAGTTAATGGGAGGTTTTAAAAATGTCTTTATTTGGCAAAATAAAAATAGGTAGCCTATTTCAATCCCAAATTTTATTAAAGTTAAGGATCCATAAAATCCCACAATTTGAAGACCTTGGAACCATATGAATTAGTCTCATTCAGTGCCTGAACATGAGGTGCTCAATAAATTTTGGTTGCCCCTTCCACTTGGTTTCTTGAAAGGCAACCTGGCTGTTTCCTGAGAACCCTGCGATCCTGGAATCATGAGCTGAAGGGTCTGTGGAGAGCGTTTCATTCTATACGTTCTCCCACTTTACAGATGGGGAACAGAGGTCAAAGAAGGGGGTTGACTTATCCAGAGAGGTAGATAGATCCTGCTGTCAGGCCTCTAAGTCCAAACCTGGCCGTTATAGCCTTGGTGACCTGCACGTACACCCCTTAATGGTCTTCAGGAGCCAGAAAGTCTGAAGTAACCGGATGGACACAAAGAGAAGTGAAACGACTGCTTCCTGCCTCAACTGATTGCTCACCCCCTGCAACATTCAACCATTGTTCCTGCTCAACCGTGCAAAATTTCCCCCCCCAAGACATTACGTTTCTCAAGTCCCCCACCCCTGTAACTGAACCCTTCCCACTGCTTGCAACCAATAACCCCCACCCTTATGACCAGGCCTGTTTGTAATAGATAACCCTCTACCCTTGTGACCATGCATCCTGTGATGCCCTTCCCCTCCCTAAAATAGACAACCACCTTTAACTGACCATTTTGCCCCAACCTATAAACCAGTTCCTATTCCTACATCCCTCGCCTAACTCCTTTCTTGGACTTGGCCTGCTTGCAGCTAAGCGCTAAATAAAACGGCCTTGTTGCCCACATGAAGCCTGCTTGGTGGCCTCTTTACATGAACAATGTGCCTAACACCTGCCAGTCAGACTGATCAACCTGATTCATTAATTTATTTAATCGTCCAATAAATGTGTGAGTTCCTGTGATGTGCCAGGCACAGTTACCAGACTAAGCACTGGGGAGAAGGTGGTCAGTGAAACAGACATGGTCCCTGTCCATGAGCTCTCATGGAGCTCACAGCTTCACACAAGATGGAAGGTGATGGGGGCAAGGAGCAGGGAGGTGGCCGTAGTTAAATAGCATCTCAGAGTCCCTCTGGGCTGCTCTTGGTTTGGGTCCTGTCTTGAGTATACCAGGTCATTTATTACTCTTTACTCCTTACTCGCCTGAATTATTGCCTTATTGTCTAGCCTGCTGAGCCAAGCTAAGCAGTCCTGGGAAAAAAATCATAAAAATCCACTTACTACTTTCCCTCAAGGCAAGAAGTGAGTTCTTGCTAAGATGGACCCCCAGTTCCTCTGTGGCTGCTCTGCAGAGCAAAGACACCCTGTAGAGGTCTGCCCACCACCCACTCATTTCTGACAACAGTGCTTTTTCTTTGAAGATCCTTCTTTCTCCACACTTGATCCCTTAGTGGGTCTCTCTCTCTCTCTTTTTCTCTCTCTCTCTGTCACACACACACACACACACACACACACACACACACACAACATACACACACCATACTCCACTCCAGAGGGGGCAAATGACCAGGCCTGGACAATGAGAAAACTCCATTGTCCTGGACATAGTGACTGGTTCATGAGTGGCCCCATAACACAGGTCGAAGAGTTGAGAATAATATCCAGCTCATGAGTTGCAGTTTACAGAAAAGAGGTATTCGCTTTCTATTAAATGTGTTGAGCTGAGGGAATTGTGAGCTGAAGGTAGTGGAGACAGAGCTTCAGCAGATAACTTGTCTAAAAATAAGGTCTACATAAAGGAAAGCTATGAAATGGAGAAGGAGGTCAGGCATGGTGGCTCATACCTGTAATCCCAGCATTTGGGAAGCCGAGGCAGGCGGATCACTTGAGGTCAGGAGTTTAAGACCAGCCTGGCCAACATGGCAAAACCCTGCCTCTACTAAAGATACAAAAATTAGCCAGGCGTCGTGGCGGATGCCTGTCATTCCAGCTATTTGGGAGGCTGAGGCAGGAGAAGCCCTTCAATCCGAGAGGCAGAGGTTGCAGTGAGCCGACATCCTGCTACTGTACTCCACCCTGGGCAATGGAACGCAACTCCTCTAAAAAAAAAAAAAAAAAAAAAGAAGAAGAAGAAGAAAGAAATGGAGAGAGAGCATTCAGGCGACATAGTCTGAGCACTTGGATCCATCTGTGCCTGAATATCTACTTCTGAATTGTTTTTTTAAGGTTATCCAATAAACCAATTTTTACTTAAGCCAGTTTGAGTTAGTTTTTAATAACTTCCAATCAAAATAACTAACCTCAATAATTTACCTACATTTCTCCGAAAAAGGTAGGGGCATTATTTATCCAATATGCCACTTTTATAGAAAAGTGCCTGGGCCAGGCTGGGTGGCTCACGCCTGTAATCCCAGCACTTTGGGAGGCCAAGGTGGGTGAATCACCTGAGGTCAGGAGTTGGAGATCAACCTGGCCAAAATGGTGAAACCCTGTCTCTACTAAAAATACAAAAGTCAGCTGGGTATGGTGGCGTGCACCTGTAATCCCAGCTACTCAGGAGGCTGAAGCAAGAGAATCACCTGAACCCAGGGGGCAGAGGTTGCAGTGAGTTGAGATTGCACCATTGCACTCCAGCCTGGGCAGCAACAGTGAAACTCTGTGAAAGAAAGAAAAAGAGAGAAAGAGAGGAAGGAAGGAAGAAAGGGAGGGAGGAAGAAA